TTCCTCTGAGAAAAGGCTCCAGAGCAGTGTTTTGCTCTTCTTTGAGTGAAGAAATACAGTGTAATAAAGCCATGTTCTTTAGACTGAACTGTCGCGCTTCTCGTTGCGTCACACCTCAACCCGCCTCAAAGCCAACGCTGATTGGACGTTCGTTTGGTGAACGGTTCCAAATTTTCTTCAACGGAGAGTCTCCAGACTGATTAGCGAGTTAAATCTTGAAAGCTCACGAGATCAGGATGGTCTCACGAGGCTAACATTTAGCTTCTGTGAACTTCTACTCCAGTTTAAAGTTGCAGCCAGAAAGCTTTTAGTACTATCTTGTATTTAACTCTATCCATTTTCACCTAAGCATGATGTTACCATCCCGACGTATTATGATTTGAAATAGCTGCAGCATTTACTCTCCCCCTCAGACTGTGTTGGTTATATTTGCACGATTACCTTCATTTTGGTTTCATATCATGGAGATGTCTGTAGGCAGCGCTACAGACCAGGCATCGATCCTGCATTTACTACCGCCAACGCTACCAGTCTATCTCTGAGCTCCAGTCTGCACACACAGAGGGTGTTTTCATCATTGCTGGGGACTTTAACCAGGCTAACGTGAAGACTGTGCTCCCTCATTTTTACCAACAAGTGGACTTTGCAACTCGGGGACAAAACACTCTGGATTTAGCTTACTCTAACATTAAAGAGGCATTCAGAGCAGCTCCCCACCCCCACCTCGGGTCATCAGATAACATATCTGTCATATTAATTCCTGCATACAGGTCCCAGCTAATCAGGGCAAAGCCAACAATGAAGGAGGTCAGAGTGTGGATTGAGGGGGCCATGTGGAAACTCCAGGACTGTTTTAAATGTTCTGACTGTAACATCTTCAAAGCTGTGGCTAGATATGACAACAAGATCAATACAGATGAGTATTCCATGACTGTGTCAGCTTACATCAACATATGCATTGAGGACGTCAGCACCACAAAGAACACCTGGGCCAACCAACGACCCTGGACTAATGAGGAGGTTCGGATATCGCTAAAAGCACGGAACTCAGCTTTCAAGTCTGGTGATAGAGAGACACTGAGGACAGCGTGTGCCAACTTGACCCATGCCATCAGATCAGCAAAGCAGAACCAAAGCCAAAAGATCCAGGATCTCTTTCATGATTCCAGAAACACCAGAAGGATGTGGCAAGGCATACGGGCGATCACAGACTGCAACACACCCTCCCTCCTGGTGGGAGCAGCTGTTGCTGACTGAACTAAACAAATTCTTTTGAAGGTTTGAGGCACTAAAAAGCACTCCAGCATTAAAAGCCGTGCCACATCAGGGAGAGGAGGTACTCAACCTTGACATAGCTGAGGTGTGGAAGACTCTGAGGTGAGTCATCCCAAGAAAGGCACCAGGCCCCCATACCATACCTGGGCAGGTGTTCAAGGAGTGTGCAGGTCAGCTAGCTGATGTCCTCACAGACATTTTTAACACCTTGCTGGACCAAGCCATAGTGAAAATGACAATAAAAGTTGTCTAAGTCTAGGTCATATTAACAAAGCTCTTTCTTCCACAAGTTTGCTGTGCCCATACAAGGTCTGTAGGATACTAGAAACTCAGCATTGTAATTTTTTTCTTTTAACAATATTTTTTTTGACATTTTTTCCAAAACTATGAACTACTGTAAGTTGGTCCACCAACTTACATTCCTCATGTTATAACCATGAACATGAAAAAATGTAAAGAAATACAGGGATATGAGTATTCACTATAAAGAGAGTCTTCTCACCTTCGTGTCCATGAACAGTGAGCAGCTTCTCTCTGGGAGCAGCAGAGAGCACTGACACTGAACATCCAACCTGTGTGCTGCTGGAAGCTGACAGCAGAGCTGTGGTGGTGACGGTGACTGTACCGTTGCTGTGGGTCACACTGCTGCTGTTGTAGTGGGAGAAGCTGAGGTTCTGCTGTAGAACAGTCAGTGTTACAGTGGGAGCAGGTCGACCTGTGGCTGAACAGGACACAACTGACTCTGCAGGAGACTCTGATCTGCTGACATCAAGGACGGGTTCATGCAGCTCTGGGAGGAGAATCAATATCTGTGAGATTGATTAAGTGAAAAGATGATTAACCATCCCCTTCAGATGCTCCACAGCATGTCTCCTTTCCTCACCATAGAGTCTGAGGCAGGTTCTGCCTATCAGGGCTCCTCTAGGATAGGTGTTAAACAGACATTTGTAGCAGCCTTCATCCTCCTCCATCACCTTCCTGATCACCATGGAGCAGCTCTGAAGATCTTCACACTGAAAATCCATCTTCTCTACCAGATCAATTCTTACGCTGTGACCATATTTCTTGGTGTAGGTGGCCAGATTCTTCTGTTCATCATGGCGGACTTTCTGCCAGGTGATCTGGAGGACGTCTTTATCCTCAGTGAGCTGACAGCTTAGAGAGGCTTGATCACCTACTGCTGCCCACACAGTCTCCTCTGTTTCTATTAGAGCCAACTGACCTTAATGAAACATGGGAGAAATAGAGCTTTAACAGATGCTAGTTATTGTAAATTCCTGAAACCTCTTTCAGGAAGAAGCAGCTTCACTTTCTGGACCAATCAGTTGGCCTTCTTAGATGAACTGTTGTCCAAAACTCTCCATGAATAAAATGGAGATGTATATTGTTGATCGCAATCGGATACTTAAAACATTACTGTCCACAGATTGTGATTAATCTTATTAAGGTTAATTTGTCATAAAGTTAATAGAACACTAGTCATGATCAGCATGAGGCTGATTCTGCTTGAATGAAAATCTCAAACCCAAAATTATTTAAAGATGAATACAGCAATTGTACAAGGTGGGTTTTTACTTGCAGAAGCTGAGAATCATCACCTAAAATGAAATGTTAATTACTTTGAAATTAGGTCAAAGGTAACAGAGAGGGAGCGGCTAAAATACACTTTAACACTGGTCTGGTCTGATAAAACTAAACCTAGCATCCCCACGAATCACTTACAAGGTGTCTTTAGGATAGTAAATTTAATATTTTGCAGTGATCATCAAGTTAAAGAAGAAAATGAGTGCGTTAGCAAAGCTGCCTGTAGAGAGCCCAGTTAGACCAGTTCTTCTACACACCAGGAAGGAAGCTGAAGAAAGAAAGAAAAGCTCTAAAGTGTGACTACAGTAGAAAACAACACACCAAAACGATGAGCGTAATGTTGGTAAACTTTTTCAATCGCTGTTAAATAATATGCTTTAAACATCAAAACAAAAAAGACGAAGGGAACAAATTATTGTTAAAAACAAGGGGTTAGATAATTTAGTAGCTATAGGATGCTTTTGTTGAGTGAGCAAAAAGCCTTCCTTATAAATGATCAAGTTAATGTGTAACGCCTATTTTCTCAAATCTTATGTAGCATCTAAACAACTGCACAAATATATAGAAATAAACGACCAAATATAGGAGAATCATCACCTAAAATTAAATGTTTACTACTTTGAAATTAGGTCAAATGTAACAGAGGGAGCTGTAAAATACTGTTTAACACTCTTGTTTTTTAGACTTCTCTGGTCTGATAAAACTAGCAGTATTTAAAATTGTCTGTTCAGTAAACATAAACAAATCAACTCTCACCTGTCTGAAGGATGATATTTACTAAATAACAGCTGAGTATAACAGCAGGTTGCATTTGGCTGTTTTTTAACACCCAGTCATGTTTCATGTCCTGCCTGAATGTTTGCAGCTGCACTGAAACTCAGGTTTCTGCTCAGTGGTGACGTCACAAGTCACTTAAAATGGCTTCGGGGGCCCGACAGGGGTGGGAGGGATTTAACAATCCAACAACCAATATGTTAAAAGTATTCACACTCCCTTCCGATTTTTCACGCCACATTTACAAAAGTCTATGTACTTCATTGAGACTTGATGTGAAAGACCATTGTGAAATAGTAGAACTACACAACTTTGAAGTGGATGAAATTTATTATAGAGTTATTAAAAATATTTTCAGTGTGAAATTGCTGAAAAGTGTGGCAGGCTCCTAAAATCATGAAATAAACTGTTAAAGGTGTTGTTGCTAATTTTTTAAAAGCCCCTTCCTCTCGACTTAAAAAATAGGCACATGCACAACCCTGTAGCTGCTCCCGAGAGGAAATGTCTGTTAAACGCCTGCTAAACGCCTGCAGGGGCTCATTTCTCCTCATCCATGCTCTGTTTAAATGTTACAGTTCTCATAGCTCATACAAGCTTACTATGTCATAATGTCCGCCCTAACCCCTAAATCCCTCAATCACTAAATAGAGCAGGGACTATATAGTGGACTTTAAAGTTGGACAGATGAACACTTAACACTTATTTTTGCTACCTGTTGGTCATGTAACTCTGTTCCACCGCCCAGTGCCTGCGCCAGCTTTGTTATTAGTCACCTCTGTCGGGCAGGGACAGCGGGCCACAAATGACTGCAAATCCCATAATGCTTTGGGAGGGGAGCTCTCCGCGCAAAGAATTATTGGATTTTTTTGCCTCTTCTGAGGCCTTTCTTTTCTTCTCATACACTTTGTAGAGACTTTTTCTCTTTCAACCCTCTGCCATTTTCAAAGAACCACAGTGAGAAAGGTGAGCTTCAATAACTGTCTGAAACCGTAGCCCACCACAGCTCTGACTCTTGAAGGAGGCGGTTGCATTTTCCTGCAGCTCCTGCATCTTCCTGCCTGTCCCTGCTTGCTGTGTCTTGTCTTTTCTGAGCTGATTTTTTTGGTTTTATGAGAGTTGGATTTCTCCTGTTTGGATTTGGAGGATACTTGGTGTATCAACAATTACAGAGGATGTCCCCGGCAATTCTGGCACTGATCCTGCATGCAGCCCTCACAAAGGCTGTGAACGAGATGTGATGACCCACATGCTGGGTGTTATTGAAAGCAGGCTGGCAGCGGTGGTGAACTCAAAAGTGAGATGGGATAATATCTTGGATGTGCACGCTGGCTTCAAGGCGGAAAAGCCCAACAAATTTTCAATATTGGATTTTGCCACGAAAGAGCCCGCAAGAACAGACTCAAGGCTGAAGGAAATTCCTGTGCAGCCTGCTCTCAAAACATTAAGTGCTATTCTGGATTCGACCTACCCCCTTTATCTAATCTCCCCTGGAAGCTTTTGGCGAAAGTGCACAGAAGAACTGCTCCCCCCCTCACCTACCCGCAAAACATCTGTGGAAGCGCCCATAAACTTCCATCTTATCAAGGACATTGCCTGTGGTCAGCGTTCATAGACATGATGTAAGCATTCACCATACAAACGCAATAAATGTCTCAAATGTAAGATTGACTTCATGTGACTACGCCTCCGATGTGACCCTCTGCTGAAATGTCTGTCTCGTGTTTTTATGTGCTTTTCTTGTACTGATTTTTTTGTTTATATCTGAAGCTGAATCCTGTTAAGGATAAAGTGTGAAATATGTATATATTTTTTTCCCCCTTTCTTCCCCAATGTGGCTCCTATCTCTCCACTGTGATAAAGGCAGTGCGATAGGTAACCGCCAGGTAACATGTGGGAACCTGGCAAGCCATAAGAATGCGCCACGGGCAGCGTTCTGCAGCACGCATTTCCACAGTAAATCCATTCCCCCTTTTAGCCTTCCCATCGGAATGTATGTAATGTATCGTGATGAACGGTTTGTACTGAAACTGAAATTTTGATTGCAATGTAAATTGTAGTTGACAATAAAGATTGATTGTTTGACATACACGCCTGAAAGTGCACTTGTGCAGAAAAAGATAGCTAATGGGGCGAGCATGTAGAACGACCTTATATAAACATATCCACTTATTTAAATCATTGATAAGAGGATTTTTTTTTAATCTGAGAAATAAATGTAGTGCATTATTTAAAAACAATTATCTTCATCCTTTTAAATGTTTTTTTGCATGTAGTTTTATAACTATATATTGAAGCACTGTTGTATTTTTCTTTAACCCCCTCAGTGAATACTAAAACACGAATTTACTTAATTGATAGCCGCAAGTTTAATGTAATATCGAATAGGCTGTATTGCTGCACATTCTTTATATAAAGCAATTTTTAATGGACTGATTGAAATTGTGATGAATTTGTATTAGGGGTTTCTGCAAATAATGGTAAAAGCATTCTCCCTTACCAGTTGGCTGCAGTGCAATCACAGCAGAAAGCATTTAAGTGCCAGAATGTAGGTATATCCATAGGAAAAATATCTGTGAGGTCACCTTTGAGTAGAAAAGTGCCATTACAGATCTTCAGATGTTCCACAGCATGTCTCCTTTACTCACCATAGAGTCTGAGGCAGGTCCTGCCTATCAGGATTCCTCCAGGATAGGTGTTAAACAGACATTGATAGCAGCCTTCATCCTCCTCCATCACCTTCCTGATCACCATGGAGCAGCTCTGAAGATCTTCTCACAGAAAATCTTAGTGCCACATACAGCGACAGCAGGAGGGAGGAAAATCTGCCTACCTGCAGAGAGCGACCCACACCTTCAATACCCTCTGTCCAGTTGAACATCAAGGAGCCCACACTGGCAGAAGTCAGGAACATCGTACAAGCTGCACATACCAGTGCAGCCCCAGGCCCAAGTGGAGTGCCCTACAAAGTCTACAAACATTGCCCGAGACTGCTGGAGAGGCTGTTGAGACTTATTAGGGTAGTATGGAGGAGGGGGAAGGTGGCACATTAATGGCATCATTCAGAGGGTGTTTGAATACCAAAGGAGGAGAGCACAAGTTCTGCACCATCTCCCTATTCACCATGGAAGGCAAAATCTTCTTTTAGATTCTTGCCTACAGGTCATCTGAGTATCTCCTAAGAAATTCCTACATTGACACCTCTGGGCAGAAGGGTGGAGTCCAAGGCATGCCAGGCTGTTTGGAGAATAACAAAGTAATTTACCTCTGGGATTATTAAAGTATTTCTGATTCTGAATAGAGGAGTGATCACCCAGTTGATCGGGAGGCAAGAGAAAACTGAGGAGACCTCGCAGTCCTCTGGCTTAAAATGGCCAATGCCTACAGATTTATTTCATACAAGCTTGTGTCCAAAGCTCACTGAACTCATAAGAGACTACTACAGTAGTTTCAGCTTGAGATTCCCCTCCAGAACAACAACATATCCATAGCACCGCTTAGAGAAGGGCATTATCACTGGTTGCACCATGTCAGTGGTGTTGTTTGCCCTAACAATGAACATTCTGGTCAAGGCTGCAGAGGGGGAATGTAGGGGCGCCTTGTCCAGATGTTGTATTTGCCAACTACCAATTAGGGACTATATGGATGACCTGACTGTCACATCAACATCAGTGACTGGAAGCCGGTGGCTCCTCCGCGGTCTGGAAAGGATCCCGGCATGGGCAAGGATGATGTTTAAGCCAGCCAAGTCCAGACCCCTTGTTGTGAGGGAGGGGAAAGTGGAGGACAAATACCGCTTCTATGTGGATGGAGTCCCATTTTTGAAAGCTCATCCACACTTCTGTTTTATAGCTGTGTAAAATGAGA